ATATATATATATATATATATATATATATATATATATATATATATATTCCGTTGGGAGCATTATTTGGTTTTAGAAGGAAAACTGTGTGTATTTGCAGACTGATATGAGTCTGTCCTCAAGGCAGTCCTTGAATCCGTATGACTGAATTTTTCTGTATAATTGTTATTCTTTTAGGCCCCAGTTGCATAGAAAAAAAGTGTGCTATTCTCAAAGGACTTCCTGACCCAAAGCTGTAAGGTAATATAATCCAAGATAAACTTTAAATAAGGTGCCAGCGGAGGACAACTTAAAAATCTACAGATTATCATTAAGAGTTGATAAAACCCCTTAAGTATTGTCTGCACATGAATACTAGATAATGTCAGATGTAAGCTGTTAACCCTGTAAGCATTATCTCATAATATTATAACTGTTGGGTGTTGATAACTGCAAGAACAACTCACAGCAACAGGGCATGTATGAAGTGTTAATCAATGTGTTTTTTTTGGCTGCTTAACTTGTCATTTAACCTTTGATAACATATCTCCTTCGCAACAATAATCTCTAGAATACACTTAGGCTGCACCAAAGAGGGGCATAAAATAGAAAACTGAGATCTATTTTAGGCTCAACCCCCCCACAACTGTGCTAAATCGAGTAAAACAAATGACCTGTGGATTTCCAGCTATGCCAGATCAGAAGTGGCTGGCTGGCAGCAATCTGTCTGGACTGTGACACTTTTGTTTCACTATTTAACAACATTCCTTAGCTGCTGCTTATATTTACTCCCTCGGATTCTAAGATATTTACTGATTATCCTCACACACTCTGCACTGCTCCAAGTATTTTAACAAGGACACATGTTAAATGTTTTTTTGAAGACTGTTTACTTTCAAAAGATTTTATTTTAATCTAATTTTGTGTAAATAATTTGAGCATCACTTTGTAATTCAGCCACATTGACAGGAATACATATACAGTATCACCAGTCAATACTCATATCATTGCATCAGTTCATTATTTAATTGTTAATTTGAACTTATAGCATCAGACTTGCAATAAAAACACAAGAAGCAACATATATCAGAGAGACATGTACTTACCAAGGTACGCTGGCAGATAGATGCTTCCTCTGGGACAAAGGTTCATGGTATGGAGAGTCCTTTATATAGCCCCCCACATTGGATCCTGGAATCAGGGGGGTGGAACCTAGGCTTCTAACAAGCCCAAATAAGAACTTCCAGCAGACACCAGCAAGCCTCAGGAAAAGTGTCTTTAACATATATGGATGGGCTATGCTCTTCACAATGAAACCACTAAATGACTGGAATGTCTCTTTAGATCATTGGGTAAAAAATAAATTGAGGACTGTTTGTGTTTTTATTTAATACTATTTAAAAAACAACCAACTGACTTTAAGATGGTGTATAATTTTTTTTATATTTTTTCTTATGTGTCTGCATCAGGCAAAAAAAATCCCAATTATAATTGTTTGATTTTCTGCTAATTCTAAATGTTTATTAAACTCTGTGTAAGGCTGAAAGCCCACATTATAACCCTTGGATGTATCATGGCCCTTGATGTCACCAAGGAGGCCCACGAATTGAACTGAATAAATGCAGCGTCACTGGTGTCTTATAAGGAAAATGAGAACACTGTATATGTCTGTAAATCATCCCGCCAGTGTGTGCGCTGAACCTTCTCAGTGTGTGGAACAGCTGATGGTAACACCAGCTGGGGTGTGTGTGTCTTATCTGACCGTCTGAGTGGTCCTCATTCCTGATTGGCTTAGCCTTTTCCTTGTAGGGTGATTGGAAGAGGCCGAGTCATTTATGAGCAGGCAGCGAGTTTGAATAGAGCAGCTCCATATTTGTGTAAGCCACAAGTTGAAAAATATTTTTCATGTTGTGTTAAGTACCATAAGATGGAATATTATCATTTGCAGAAAATGTTGCAATATTTGAGTTGTTAGTAAAAATAAAATTTTTGCATTGGCCAATATTACAAAATGTAACATTTTTTGATTTTAAAAACATTTATCAAACTTGCACCTGTGTAAAAAAGTGTAGCACATTCAGTTGCAGTGCTGTTAGAAAGAATTAAGTGACATTTCTTTGCACCAAACTGCCT